CAGCTGCGGGTAGAAAAACAGTCGGCGCAGGGCAGTACCAGCAGCTCCAGCTCCTCCAGCACCAGCAGCACCAGCACCTCCAGTGCCAGCAGCTCCAGTAGCACCTCCAGCACCTCCAGCACCAGCAGCACCACCTGCTCCGGCAGCTCCAGCACCTCTAGTACGAGCACCTCCAGGACCAGCAGCTCCAGCACCTCCAGTACCTCCAGTACCTCCAGCTCCAGCGCCTCCAGCACCAGCAGTACCTCCAGCACCTCCAGTGCCAGCAGCTCCAGTAGCACCTCCAGCACCTCCAGCACCAGCAGCACCACCTGCTCCGGCAGCTCCAGCACCTCTAGTACGAGCACCTCCAGGACCAGCAGCTCCAGCACCTCCAGTACCTCCAGCTCCAGCGCCTCCAGCACCAGCAGCACCAGCACCTCCAGTGCCAGCAGCTCCAGTAGCCCCTCCAGCACGAGCAGCACCACCAGCTCCGGCAGCTCCAGTACCTCTAGTACGAGCACCTCCAGGACCAGCAGCTCCCGCAGCTCCAGCACCAGTAGCACCAGCACCTCCAGTGCCAGCAGCTCCAGTACCCCCAGCACCTCCAGCACCAGCAGTACCACCAGCTCCGGTAGCTCCAGCACCTCCAGTACGAGCACCTCCAGGACCAGCAGCTCCAGCACCTCCAGTACCTCCAGCTCCAGCAGGACCAGCACCTCCAGTGCCAGCAGCTCCATCACCTCCAGCACCAGCTGTACCTCCAGGACTAGTAGGTCCAGCACCTCCAGCACCAGTAGCACCTCCAGGACAGGTAGCTCCGGCACCTCCAGCACCAGCAGCACCTCCAGTACCTCCAGGACTAGCAGCTCAAGTACCTCCAGCACCAGCAGCACCTCTAGTACCTCCAACAGTACCTCCAGCACCTCCAGCACCTCCAGGACTAGCAACTCCAGCACCAGCAGGACCGTACCCTCCACCACTAGGACTGCCTCGCCGAACGATCCACGCACGAATCGCCTGCGGCGAGAGCGTCTCAAGTAGATCAGGCTGCGGTGGCTGTCCAGCTCCAGGACCTCCAGTAGAGTCACCCACAGCTCCACCGCCACTAGGACTCGCAGCACCCCCAGAGTCACCACCCCCAGAACCAGCACCCTCAGTCGCAGCACCCCCAGGCGCAGCACCCCCAGAACCCTCACCCTCTGTCTCAGCAACCCCAGGCTCAGCACCAGCAGTCTCAGCTCCAGAGTCCACAGCAGCAGGCTGTGGAGGCGGCGAAGACGGCCGAGGCGGAAAACCAGGGGGGGTCTCCAAGCGTGGAGAGCGGCGAGTGGCCGCCGTGTCGTCAGCGGCGGGGTCACCCCCCTCAGCTGGGCCAGAGGAGTCAGAAGAGATCTCCAGAGGCTCAACCAAGGGGGTTGGGTCTACCTGAGACACACCTAAGGGAGCAAGACCCTGTGGGGGAAGGGGGTCTACCGGGGGGGGGGACTGGTACTAGGAAGAGAGGCGCGAGGGGGACTGGGTGGGACGCGTGCGGGTGTAGCCTGTAGAAACAGACAGACTCGTCAAAGGTGACGTCCTGGGAGGAGAAGACTCGACGCTCGCGCGGGTGGTAGAACTGCCACGGCGGGGCGTCGGTGGGGAAGCCAAGGAAGACGCAGCGGAGAGTGCGAGAGGAGAGCTTGCTCGCTTTGGCATCGCGAACAAGGGAGAGCGCGCCCCAGACCCGAAACACCGACGCATCGCCAACCTTCCCCGTCCACCGGAGTGTGGGCGAGGTCTTTGGCTCAGAGACACGGGGCCAGAGGTTGAGCTGATGTGCAGCGTATCGGACCGCAAACGGCCACAGAAAATGGGGAGCAGCCGCATGGATCATGGAGGTACAAGCAACCTCCATGATCAAGCCAATGCGACGCTCAGCAAGGCCGGAAGCGTGAACGTCTGGCGGATGCCCTCGTCTCGACAGAACTCCTCAAGGAGGCCGGAAGAGAACTCACCGCCCCTGTCAGAGTGCAGACGCAGGACTAGCAAGTCCCGACGAAACCGCTCACGCAGCTAGCGACGAGTAGCACGGATCCAGGGGATCAAAACACCGCTGACGTCCGCCTTGCGCCGCAAGGGGAAGACAGTGGTGTAGCGTGTGTAGTCGTCAACAACCAGCAGGAAGTAGCGCTCCTGGTCCGTTCCACCGACGGGGGCCGGGCCCCACACGTCCATGTGGAGAGTCTGCAGAGGAGCAGTGGTCGGAGGAAACTCGGAGGAGTGAGGAGCGGCGCGCTGCCGCCCCTCGACGCAGGGAATGGCGGTGCAGGCGAGCGCGGGAGGGAGGGCAGGGACCTGGGAAGCCCAGAGACAAGGAGACGGGTGTGCATGCTGCGGACACGCGGCAGTGAGGGGTGACCGAGGCGGTGGTGCCAGAGGAGAGTCTGGTGGGAGAGTACCCGACACGAGCAAGACGCTGCAAGCTGACCAGACGCAGACACCTGACTCGACACAGCCACCTGACCTGACTTAGCCACCTGTGCAGACGCAGTGGTCAGTGTGTACAGACTAGACCCAGGCCGTCGAGTGAACGTAGCTAGGTGACGGCCAGTCCGGGAGCACGTACAGATCGCCACACGCTGCCCTCCAGGAATAAAGGTATCAACCCAGACATCCTGAATGGCAGCGTTGCTCACCAAGTTCGTCGAGAACGTGGGGAGGTGGAGACCTGACAGAGAACCGGAGGGGACTGCTGGACACGGGAGGACAGTGGAGGCTCGTGCGACTACTGGGCCCACAGTGGGGTCAGCTAGTGAGACTGGTACCGGTGCAGCAAGTGGTGTGAGTGTGGTGCAGTCACGAAAGAAGCAACGTGACGCGCCTGAGTCAAGTGTGAAAGTGTGCAAGGCCCCAGCTGAGGCAGGACTTGTGGCGGTAGACGCACGAGCACCTAAAGCTGCAGCAGACTCACTAGCACCTGGAGAAGCAGCAGACTCACTAGCACCGAGTGCGGCAGCAGACTCACTAACACCTGGAGCGGCAGCAGACTCACTAGCACCGAGTGCGGCAGCAGACTCACTAGCACCTAGAGCAGCAGCCTCTACAGAACCAGTGACACATCGCTGAGAAAACAACTCACTAAGCAGCTGCGGGGAGAAGGTCTCCTGCTGACTCTGCTGCCGCCTCTGTGCAGTACGCAGAAAACCAAAGCCTCCACCACCTGGACGGGCTCGCTGACGAACCCACTCGCGAAGCTGCTGCGGGGATAGTGTGTCCGGGTGAGGCAGTGGCTGTTGCTGTTCACCCCTAGCTGCTGCGACTACCGTGATAGTGGCCATGACAGGCAGTGGCAGTCAGTAGCAGCGGCGCAAGGGCAGTAGTAGCGACTGCTGTAGTGACTGTGGAGGCCAGTAGAGTACGTAGACAGCAGGGCACAGGCTAGTGCAGTAACAGCAGTAGTGCCAGCAGTGGCAGCACGAGCAGCAGCAGCAGTAGTAGCAGCAGCCGTAGCAGTAGGAGTAGGAGCAGCAGTAGGACAGTGCGGCTTAGTAGGGGCAGGGCACCGCGGCTCGGGCAGGGCGGCGCAGCTCGACAGGGCACAGCGCAGGTAGCAGCATGTGCAGCAGCAGCAGTAGCAGCGGTTAGCAGCTGCAGCAGCACTTAGCAGCAGCAGCAGCTCATGCAGCAGCGGCACGATGGGCAGCAGGGCGCGCCGGCGCTTTTAGGGTTGCGGGGCGCGCTGGCGCGCTTGGCTGTAGGGCGCGCTGGCGCGCTTAGGGCTGCGGGGCGCGCTGGCGCGCTTAGCAGCGGGGCGCGCTGGCGCGCTGGGCTGCAGGGCGCGCTGGCGCGCTTCGCAGTGGGTCGCGCTGGCGCGTGTAGGGCTGCAGGGCGCGCTGGCGCGCTTAGCAGCGGGCCGCGCTGGCGCGCTGGGCTGCGGGGCGCGTTGGCGCGCTAAGCAGCGTGACGCGCTGGCCCGCGGGGCGCGCTGGCGCGCTTAGGGCTGCGGGGCGCGCTAGGGCAGAGGCTGCTCGCGGGCAGAAGGGGCGCGCAGGGCAGGGGCTGCTCGCGGGCAGTAGGGCGCGCGGGGCAAGGGCCGCTCGCGGGCAGTAGGGGCGCGCGGGGCAAGGGCCGCTCGCGGGCAGTAGGGGCGCGCGGGGCAGTAGCCGCTCGCGGGCAGTAGGGGCGCGCGTGACAGCTGGGCAGCGCGCTAGGGCAGGCAGTGCGAGTAGCTGCAGGGCAGCGCGACACTTAGCGAGCAGGGCCGGACAGCGCAAGGGCGCTTCGGGCAGGAGAGAGCGGAACTATCGGTGGGCCCTAAAAACCTAACAGGTTTCCTGCTCTGAATACCATGTCAGAATAACTGCGCAGGAATGAATTGATGAGCAAGAGTTGGGGTACAAGTACTAACCCTAGAAGTGCTGTACCCCATAAGGAGTGCCCCACTATAGCCTACAAGTAAGGTTGTACTTTGACAGTAACGTGGGTGGAGGCCATAATATTTCCATCCTACCCCAGAGGAGCAATTATTAGTACGGTAGCTCCTCACCTATCCATTAATGTTTTGGACAAAAGTACACCCTCACTAATTGTTTTCCAGGTGTTTATTTGAGTACCTTATGCTTGAAATGAGCCACAACCATTACATTCATGTCAGGTAGATTTCCAGTATCAACCAGCAGGCTGCATCCAGCATCAACCTACGCACATTACGTGCCAGGGCACAATACCGTAATTGGCCAATGCAGGTGCACCATACTCCCACTCTACCTTTTATTCCCAAAACCGCCTATTTTGGGCCAGTTTGCACGATGAGCCGCAGCTCACCTCTCGGCAACTGCCGCGGCCACTTCGCAACCCCCCCCCCCCCCCCACCCCCCCACCTCCCCCAACCCCCCCAACCAACGCCATGGTTCCAAGCTCAACTCCAAAGAAATTCCACAAGAAAAACAGCTACTTGCAACCGCTCACAAGCCTCGCTCAGCTCCACTTAAAAGCCATGACCCATGGCTTGCAGCAGAGCCCCGGCCCCACGCTCTCTATCACGCATCACACGTGTTCTGCACCGTGGTGCACCCCGGCTCATCACTCAGGCAGTTCCCTGACACCAGCAACTTTGATGGGCGTGCGTTCGGGCAAATGCCCTTCACGCGCGGCGACCCCGTGAACAAGTTGTTGCGGGCATCCAGAAAGAACTTGCTACTGGCGCCAAGGTAAGGCTGGGGCAGTGGGCCGGTTAACTGGTTATTAGCGAGCACGAGGCGCAGCAGGAAGGAGAGGGCGTTGAGGCTGTCTGGGAGATCACCCGTGAGGCCATTGTTGCTCAGATCCAGCGCTGTCAGATTCACCAGCGATCCAATCTCATCGGGAACGGCATCGCTGAGGGTGTTGTTCTGCAGCTGCAGCGACTTGAGATTGGAGAGGTCACTGACTTCGGCAGGGATCGAACCCGTGATCTCGTTAAACCCCAGGTTCAGCGCCTCCAGGCTCGGAAGCCCGCTCCAGGTGACGTCAGCGAGCGCGATGCTGAGCTGGTTGTTGGCCAGGTTGAGCTGGCGCAGGTCGCTCATGAGGGAGATTTCCGTCGGGAGGGAAGTGATGAGATTGGACGAGAGGTCCAGCGTGTCAACCGTGGCGGAAGACGCGGGGAAGGTGGCGGGAATGTCCGAGAAGAGGTTTCCCGAGGCCGTGAAGGTGAGCGCGCCATCCGCGAGCTCCGGAAGCGCGGCGGGGAGGGCGGTGAAGAAGCAGCGGTCCAAGTGGCCGAACTGCAGCTTCGTCAAACTCGAAAACGCGTCCGGGATTGGTCCAGAGAAGTACGAGTCGCTGACGTTGAGAGCCACCAGGTTGACCAATCCGCTGATGGCGGGCGGAAGCGCGCCGCGGAGGAGGGTCTTGGAAACGTCGAGGAAGGTGAGCTTGGTGAGCGTCCAGATCTGATTCGTTCCGCCGTAGAACGTGTTGTTGCTCAGGTCGAGGCGCTTCAGCTTAGGCAGCTTCGATAAGTACCACGGAATCGGGGCGACGATCTCGTTATTAGCGAGGATAAGCGTGTCGAGATTGGTGAGGTTGGTGAGCGCGATGGGGATCCCCGCGGTCTTCCAGCGCATGCTGGCGGAAGTGAAGTTGAGGCGGAGCACGTCCCCCGCGGAGCTGCACGTCACGCGCAGCCAATTCGCGCAGGGCTTCCCTGCGCCCCACGTGCTGCTCCCCGTGAAGTACCCGAAGGCCGTTTTGAGGCTCAGCAGCGCCGACTCCTGCGGCGGCTTGATGGTCTGCGCGAACGCGGGGCTGCTGCCGGAGAGGCTAATAACGAGGAAAACGGGGAGCAGCAGGAGGAGGGGGAGGCGATGACTGTTCCCGCGGGGGTACGAGATTCTAGCGCTACTGCCGCGTGAACGCTTCATGGCTAATGCTTTGGCTATCGCCTGGAAAGCGGAGGGTCGAGGAACGGACGGACAGGGTCCGTCGGCGCGAGAAACTAAGAGAAATAGTAGCAGGTTTGTCGAAGCTAGTAGGTCACGCAAACTTCTTTGTGAAGTATAAGATACGAAGACAGCCCGTTATATACCATGGATTTGCCTAAGATGAAAACAGAGAAGCGATAATGGAACGGGTGGACAGGGGCGCATCATAGAGAAACGGCGGCTTTGGTGATTGTACGGCTCGGTGTTAGGAGGTGGGCGGCGCAGCCTGATGGCGTGCGAGACGAGTGGATGCGTAAGCGGCGCTGCGGAGGGCGCGTTGAATGTGACGGTATTTCTCTACCCATCAGAACAAGTCATGTAAGTGAGGGAACCAGAAAGGATGAGGAGATTGTGTGCGGTGCGGTGCTTTGCTGATGAGGAACCATCCAGCCAGACTGACGAGGGGAAGCGAAGCGAGATGGTGCTGGTGGGGTAAGTTGACGCGCAAGCTTGTGTGCGCGATGGATATCAACTGCCTGGCTCTTGCTCCGATCTGGGTCTCCCGCAGGTGAGATCCGCGAATTTGTTGCCCTCGCCACCAGCAACGTTTGGGTTCGGTTCGAAGGAACAGCTGCAAGTCCGCCAGACAATCTGCGCCCAGAGAGGGGGGGACAAGGGGAGTGGGGCGGAGAGAGGGGCATCAAGTCGAATCGACCAAAACAAGAAGCGGCTCGGTGCCGCCAGCCGAGGCTTCCTGGCTTGGCTCGGTTGTCTGCGCTGGTGTGTGCCTTGCCTTGCCCAGCGCAAATTCATTTTCGTTCGCCGTGTATCTTAGTGCATGTTCGACCCAGCGCCACTCGGATGCAACAGTGCCGGTCGTAACTGGAAACGGCGGCAGGTCGTGAAAAAATCGCTAGTGAAATCCGACACTGCACTATAACGAGTGATTTGTGAATTGTAAAAGAATTTGTACCTCCAGTGCTGTTATTGTCAAACCATGGGTACCTTAGTAGTACCTGCCTTGGAAAATGGCTACATCCCTCACCTTTTCATCATAGCTCTACACAGGAAGGTTGGCACTGAAGCTAGAGCACGACAGAAGCAGGCCTCAAAGAGAGCTTGTTGCAAGAGCTGTGGATTTGAGGAATAGAGAAGAGCTCCTTCAGTGCAATGGGTAATGTTTTTTTCATGGTGTAGCTATAATTTGTCCAAACATAAGGTCAGCCAAACAGAGCCTTCCATAACCTAGTAACCCCAGCCAGCTGAATTCCTTTATCTCCATTCATCCCCAGGAACCCGTCTAGTGTTCTCATCCTAAGAAGCCCAACAGCCCCACCATCCCACCCAGCTATCTCGCGCACACGCGCTGGTTGGTGGAGCAGTCCGCGGGGTCATCCAGGCAGTTCCACGCCACGCGCAGCCGGTTCGGCCGCGAGTTGGGGCACACGTCCTTCACCAGGGGCGACCCCGTGAACGAGTTGTTCCGCGCGTCCAAATAGAACCCCGGGTCCGCCCCCAAGTACGGCTGCGGCAGCAGCCCGGCAAAATTATCAGCGATAATCACCAGCCGCGTCAGCGACTGCAGCTCGCTGAACCCCACGGGGAAATCCTGCCCCTCGCCCAGAGCTGTGTTGAGGCCGATGTCCAGGGAGACGAGGTCCGTGAGCAGCGTCAGCTCGTCGGGCAGCGAGCCCGTGAGCAGGTTCGTGTGGAAGTGCAGGTGCCTCAGCGTCGTGAGCGCCGCGAGGTCCGTGGGGACGGTGCCGGTGATGGCGTTGCGGCCGAGGTACAGCTCCTCCAGCGCCACCAGCTCGCTCCACGCGATGTCCTCCAGCGGCGTCGCGATGCGGTTCGCCGCCACGTTCAGCACCTTGAGCTCCGTCAGCAGCGCCACCTCCGTCGGGAGCTCCGCGAGCAGGTTCCCCCACAGGTCGATGCTGAACACGCCCGCGGCGGACGCGGGGAAGGTGATGGGGATGCTCATGATGAGGTTGCTTTCCGCGGCGAAGGTAAGGTTTCCCGGGTCGAGCTCAGGGAAGGACGGCGGGAGCTCGGTGAAGAAACAGCTGCTGAAGTCGCTGTATTTGAGCTTCACGAGGTTGCTGAATGACGCGGGAATGGCGCCGCGGAAGTAGTTAGACGACACGTCCAGGTAAGCGAGGTTCGTCAGCGCGCCCAGGCCCGCGCCGAGCGGCCCGACGAGCAGATTGTGGGAGATATCGAGGTACGTGAGCTGAGTTAATTTCCAGATTCTGCTCGAGCTGCTCCCGTAAAAGCGATTCAGCTGAAGATTAAGGGTTTTCAGGGAAGTGAGGGTGGAGAGGACGGTGCCGAGTTCGGCGGTGATGCTGTTGTTGTAGAGGCTGAGGAAGGCGAGCTTCGTGAGCACGGAGAGGGACGGCGCGATGCCGACGCCCGTGGAGCGAATCATCGCGTTCGCGAGGTGGAGGTGCGTGACGTCACCCGCGCTGTTGCACTGCACGCGCTGCCACGTGGAGCAGTCCGCGCCCGATTTCCACGTGGAAAATCCATTGAAGCTTCCGTACGCGCTCTTGGCGGACAGCATCGCTTTCTGCTGGTACGGTTTTATCACTGCTGCGTTTGCGTGGAGAGGGAAGGACACGAGCAGGGATACCAAGAGGATAATGACATGAATGCTTCGACCCATCTTGTCTGGCTAGAATAATTTGTCGACGAAAGAAAGAAGCTGCTTCGACAAGTCGGAACGGATTATCGAGAATGAAGATAACAAGAATATGGAACAGAGAGTTGTTTGTATCTATCTGGGAACGAATTGACGAGATGGAGGCGCTTACTGCTTGGGGTGCTTGGAGGGGAAGGCATGGGTCCCCGCGGGAAGAGGGGGGAACCAGGGGTACGAGGGGAATATGGCAGTATATGGCGTGTACGGAACGGACGTTCGGTCGGGGTAGACGGCGGCTGGTTTGGCGGCCTTACGGACCTGCTGATTGGTGTTTAATTTGCCTGCAAGCTCGTTTACCCTGGTCCGGGACCTGGTTAGGTAAGGGGTTACCGAGTTCCCTAAACTGGCACCCCACATGTGCGCCATTAGGCTCGGTCAGCCTGGTTCGGCATGCCTCCGCTGACTTGTGTTTCCAAGCATGCTTCTATCCAAGTATGAATGAGCTGGTGTATGACCAGCTGCCTCTGGTGGCGGTCGGGGCTGGTTTGGTCAGGCAGAGCCCGAACCGACCTCCTCCTCCCCTTCGAGCCGCAAAATATCTTGAGCGCCACCAGAAAGCGGCTGCGTTGTCGTTTTCTGCTGCCAGCACTGCACTTCAACAGCACCATACAGAACATGAGATAAAAAAACCTTTAATCTATGTCGAAGCAGATTTTAAACTGAACAAACCATTGCTCTCCCAACAGCGACATCTCTCCTTCACCCACACCACCTGCAATTCCACCTGATCCCCCTGGCAGATCCATAACAACTCCCCCACCCAACACCCACCCCGCGACTACGCACCGACCATCTTTGTTCAAATCAAACTCCCCTAAAATCCCCATTATCCCACCATACCTTCTTGCCCCCACACACACCATTCACCCCTCTTCTCTGTTCCTCTCCCAACCTGTACATCCGCACAGGTGTTCTGTTCTCTCCTTGTCCATCCCGTGCAGGCACGACCTCCCCCGGTAACTACGCTCGATACACACACACCGCACCGCGCCGCACTACGCCACCCACCACAAATTTCTAGGAGGAGTTTTACTGGGGTGTTAGGGGATGAGTAGTTGAGTAGTTGTCGCCGCCAACAGATTGGAAAAAAATGTTGGGGCAGGCTTCAACCGAAAACACGACACGACATGACTCGCTAATCGCCGCTAATTTGCAGCGTGTCAGCAGTACCTAGTAACTCCTAGATTTCTCGCTTACTAGTACCGAAACGCGTGGTCACACTGGCGTGACCCTGGCAGTTCTTGTGAGAAGAACCCACGGACCAAGTGTCCGCCAGCCATTATACGTCACTGTCGCTGTAACCTGCACTTAGCGAAGCCGTCTGAAACGAAGTCACGCGCGCTCGAACGTTTCCGCAAGCAGCTCGATCATCCTCATGAACCGCCCGTTACCGCTCCGCACTACCAGAACCGCGCCGCATTCTCGTCACCATGAAGCCGTCTTTAATCTACACTTTCCTCCTCTTCTTTCTTCCATCCCCTTCCGACCGCCTGGTTTCGTCAGTCAAGATCAAGCCGTCGCAGGAGGACGCGTTATTAGCCCTCAAGGGTGCTTATAGCGGATTTGCTGGCTCCACTTCGTGGGCGAAAGGCGCCGATTGCTCGAAATGGGTCGGCGTCGCCTGCGGTCCCGTGGGAAACGTTCTCAAACTCGCTTTAAACAGCTCCGCGATAAAGAGCCCTGTCGCGGGAATACCCTCCAGCTTATCGGGTCTGTCGCATCTACAAATGCTGAACCTCGCAAATAACGCCCTGCTCGGCCCGCTCACGACGACTCTCTCTAAGCTGACTCGCTTGCAGCATCTAGACCTTTCGAGCAACCTCTTCAACAAAAACCCTAACTACATCTGGAATCTCACGCAGCTGACTTACCTCGACATTTCCAAAACACTCGTCAGCGGCCCGCTTTCGCCGTCCATCGGTGCGCTTACCAACCTCAAGGTTCTAAACGTTTCCAGTACTTACCTCTCGGGAACGATTCCCGACGAGTTTAGCAGCCTCGCGAAGCTGCAGTTTGGCCATTTCGACAGATGCTTCTTCACGGACCTGCCGGCTATGTTCCCGGAACCAGACGGCAGCGCGTCTAACCTGACGTTCTCGGCAAGCGTCAACCTGTTAGCCGACATGTCCATCACATTCCCGGCCTCGGGCGCAGGGGTCGTCGCGATGGACTTGGCGGGGAACCGCATCGCGTCCCTCCCGTGCTAATGAGCGACCTGACGAGCCTGAACCTTGCTGGGAACGGTATTGAGGGACAGATGGCGGACTACGATTGGCCGATCCTCGAGAACATAGAAGGGCTGTTCTTCGGGAGGAATCTGCTAGCAGGAGAGGTCCCCGTGTCTCTAAGCACACTCACGAAGCTTAAATACTTCCATTTCGGCGCTAATGCGCTCAACGGTAGCTTGCCTGAAGAGCTCGGAAACCTGTCAGAGCTCCTAAGCTTGGATCTAAGTGGTAATGCAGACCTGGGGGGTTATTTTCCTGTCAGTATTAACGACCTGCCGAATTTGACCCGGCTGGTGCTCTCAGGAGACAGCTTCACGGGGCCTCTGCCGCAGCCGGCTCTGGGAGCCCTCAGCACCTTCGTTCTGGATGTGCGGAACAACTCGTTCTCGGGGTCGCCGATTATCCAGGGTGTTTGCCCAGCGGATTACCCCACGCGGCTGAAGGTGGAAGAAAATTGCTTGGATGTGCTGGCAGACTGTGAAACGACCCAGGCCGTGTGCTCCTGACATCTGCGTGCTCCTGGCTGGGCCATGTGCTGCGGGCTGTGTATTGGTCTTGGTGATGCATGAAGAGAGGCGGGGCTCATGTGGGGGAAGAGGAGGAACTGCTGTGGGGGAAGAGGGACGGGGCTGCTGCGAGGGAGGAGAGCAGATATGGAGGCACATGTGGGGATCTGCTGTGGGAGGAGGTGGGACGATTTGTGGTTATGGCTTGAGATTTGGAGGCAAACTGGCGTGGATGGACTTGGATGGCAGGCAGGGGAATGCTAGGGGAGTAAGTGACAGCAGGTGAAAGAAAGTGCATTTGCCGTATCTGCAACATCTATGTAGCCTTAATAGTTAAGGAATATGTGGTATTCATGTATGTATGTACTATGATTTTGTTTATTGTATCCAACTCATGCAATCTTGATTCATTTCTAGTTGTGATCTCACCAAGTAGAAAGTCAAGGACTAATATAGACACACATAATTATACAGTGAGAGCTGAAGGGCTTTGTGAACACATCGAACCGCGTCACAATTGCACGTAAGCACACCCATGTGCGCATACCGATTTTCACGGCTGGGGATACCTACCACGGCTCGACCACATTCATTCCTGATGTCGGGGCAGACCTCACGTGACCCGATTTTCACTGGTCTACCCGCACCGCCAAACATCGCAGTGCCAAATTCATGCCTGTCTAACGAACGAGATGCTATTGATGGAATTCGCGGAGGGCGATTGGTCATCTAGGCAGCAAAATGTTCTCTCGCGAGAAGCAATCCCTGTCGCAAGTGTTACCAGCTGGAGTGGATGAGTGCCAAGTAGAGATGCGCGACAATAGCGAGGAAGGTGTTTCTGGCGACGGTGTACGCCCCCCTACATCACTTGCAGCACCACAGCATCTTTCGATGAGCACCGCAGTTGCGGCCAAGCAGAAGTAAGAAAGGTGAGGTGACGTGAAAAACGCTGGACATTCCAGGGCATGCTTTCAGCGAAGTGGTTTACGCGTTACCACCCTACAGCAGCTCTCTGGCCACAGTGTCATACGTCTGTCTATCACTCACACGTGCCGATTAGTATCAAAGTCGCTACTAGTGCCTAGAAGATCCGCTGATTTGACACGCTTTCAGAGTTTAGGGTGAAACTTTGTTCAGTCTTTCTCGACCCGGCTAGTAGCGATAGCTTGGAACCAGTTGCAGTCACGGTTCGGGAGACTCTTTTCATAATCAGGCTGTTGTAGACTTGCTTCACAGGCGATCGCAGAAGCGGACTGGAAACGCACATGTAAAAGGAGGTATTTTACAAAAACGCCATGAAAACGTTCGTCAAGTTGGTCACCCTCTTGTTGCTCGTGGCTGTGTGGCAAGAACACCAAGCGACAGCGCTGAACCCGCGGGAGGTACGGAAGGCGAGCGACGGCATCAAGCAAAGACCGGAGTTCAAGAACGTCCATGACTTGATCGACAAATACCGTAAGTGTTTAGCTAGAAAAAAAAAAAAGTGGCTCCATCTCCCGGATGGAGCCAACGGAACCGTGCTGTAAATGACGCCATCTGACCGTGCTCTTGAGGAGGCTGCGTAAGTTAACAGGCGTTCGTGTGACGCCTCGTGCGAGAGAGGTCCCCCCTTCGCGTCATGGTTCGCCCGTTTCACATCAACGTGCCTGATACAGAAGCCGTACGACCAAGAGAAAAGCTTCACGCACCATCTTCTCTATCGTTTTCTCCTTCGAAATTGGTGTGCGCAATCAACCCTCACGCACCTGTGCAAATGCCGTCTGTTATAGAACGAAGTAAATTACGTTATGTTGTTGATTTGTTTGCACTTTTTGTGTTACGTAAAATGCCAGCTCGTTGGAGGAGCCGCAACACATCCACAGTTTTCTTTCCCACGACAACGTACAGCAGCCATTTATTGTTCTCCATTTTGTTTCTATGACCCCCCCTCCCACCATTTCCTTTCCTTTCCATTTTCTTCCCTGGGCAGTTAAGCAACTCATTCCCCTTACAGACATCACCATTTTGATACCTGTGGGCATCGCGCAGCTGTACGCGTACACCTCGGACCAGCAAACGACGATCCTATCATACAATACTATCACCACGCGTTATCTTTACCGCAATTTCACCAACATGAAGGGCGGCACATCCCTTGACTCGCTGGAAGGCAGTACCATTACGAAGCGCGGTCCCAACTACCAGCCAGTTGTGGGTTTCCAGGGCACGGGCGCGACTCTTTGGAGCATGCTGATCATCCCGAACTTGTGGGTGGGGTCGGACTTCACGATTCAAGGAACCACGACGCTCCTCATCCCCGCCGACTTGTGATCCCCGTTGGAAAGTTGGTGTGGAATAATGGAGGAGGAAGGGCGTGGTGGGTTGGTACTGGAAAGACGTGTGTTGTGAGGGCTCGTCAGAAGGATTTGGCGGAGGCGACTGTCGTATGAGTATGATTTGTCATTCTACTCCTAACCCCAGGCGTTGAGGCAGCTATGAGGTTTAGATAAAACGGGAATAATAAGATATGTTGTAGAGATATTTGTTAGCGCCATTGAAAGTGACCACTGTAGGCAGGGTGTATTGACTAAACATCATAAGCGCAGCATGTTCTACTGCTTCATCAGATGGATGTTGTAGCTGTAACGAAACGGTGGAGGAACACTCTGGTGCGCGTGACAAGTCCAGAGTGCATGCCCTTCCACACATCGCTCCGTCTGTACTGTGGTGGATGCTGGTCTCGACTCTCGACATTCGCAGATGACCCACCATTTCGTTTGGCCTAGCGTAGCGAAGCGACATGAGCACAGAAATACGCAGCGAAGCGACATTGAGCGGTCAGGCCATTCCAGGATGTGAAACTGATTGACGATGCCGGTCACTAGCACATGCTGTGGTTGGTTATCGTGGACAGGTGAGCCCCTGAAGCACACGAAAAGAGGCAAAGGAAAATACAATCACGGGTTTCGGGTTTCTACCCTAAACAAGGGTAGAAAACATTATAGCCCTTGAAAATGCTAAACCAGCTCATTTGCAACCCCCGCTCTCACGCTAGACGACAGGCATCTGGAGCACGAGGCGACTGCAGAAGCCAATGATCCGGGCCCCTGCCCCATGTGCAGCTGTCATTGTCGGAAGCGCAGTGGTGAAATCGTTTGCGAGGAGGGGAACGTGACCAGTGAAATCCTGTCCGTTAGATCGACGGGACAGGAGTTGTGATGGTGTCTGTGGATTGTCACCACCGAATGTCCAGCGCATTCCCGAAACACTGGTGTTTCGCACGCTGCCTGGAGCATCGCCTAGGATCTGGTAACCACACTTTACGAAACTGTGTGGTGCTCACGAGCTTCGTGGCCCCCCTTCAACTGCCCACCTAGCGCACGGCAGCTCTTCAACGCCTTTCTACCAGAACCACCGAGCATAGCTCGGTGTACGCCTACCCCTCGCCCCCGTTCACCTCTTCCCCGACATCCGGGACCGTGACCTGACCTGCCCCATGTACAGTTGCTTCCCAACCCACACAGCTGTCCCCCCATCCATCACCTCGTAATGCACAGTTCTGCCAGGTGCCCCTCACAGGCTGGCCCTCTGAAGTCGATGTGGTTTCCCTGACTATCCCCCATCGCAAACACAAAAATAACTTAGTGAAAACCAGTGCAAATCCGACTGAGTGGTGTTGATCGCATTTATAGCGCATTTTCTTTAAACGTTGTACTGCGATACAATACGGGTGGACTCAACCCAGTTGCAGTTTAGCAAACAATCTGTTTCCGGCACCGATTTTCCAAAACATGACAAACTCCGCTCGGGCTCATCAGGTAGCACTGTGGGTACAGTATACTGCATAACCACGGTCCAGTCGGGTGCGCAACCCAGTCAGACCCAGCTTGCTGTTGAGTCGCCCACTTCCACGCTAGCACGCCCACCGAAACGACGAGAAATTCCAGTTTGTTCCCGGGACGGGCAATTTATTGCCCCGAAACAAAAATTCCAAAGAAGAAATTCAAAACCAAGATGGCAGGTTCTGGCTCTTCGCTGGACTCACCAGAGTCAGCCTGCCCTGGCCCCTGACCAACGCCCAGTCAATCACACTACTCTGTCATGGCGGAAGGTGGAGAGGGCATCCCAGCAGCAGCATTTCCGACAACCAACCAACCTGACGGGCCGTCGACTGGTTACCACCATTCGTATCTACCGGTAGCAGTAGATTGAGGCCACCGACCCAGGCTTCTATTTCCGTCGTCTTTCGTGACTCCTATTCGGGTCGGAAGTTAGTCATTTACGCATCGTGAACGTTTTCCTCCTCGAACGCTAGTTCACCCTCCACTAAATTTATTGTCCGCTAGTCCCCAAGTATCTACGGTTTCTTCTCACTGCTTATCAGCCCCTCACACCTGCGAAGCGCACGTCCCGTAGTCTGCAGCGGCGTGTCATCGTAGCGTTGGAAAAATGGCGTTCGACGGTCGACAAAGACGACGCGACATCAGCGAAATGTCGTTTTAGGGTTTCAGCATTTAATCGTTGAGCACATCTCTCGATCTACGTGCATCCTCAGAAGGAGTTCGTTGGGACGAAACTATCAGTCAGCCATAGTTGTATCCTTCAGGCTCCATATCCTCTTGTCAAAACAGACATCCTTTTTCGCCTCCATTCTTTTATTCAATGGCTTGCCGGCAGCAAAGATGGCAACACTCAATACCCGTACTCTCTATAGTTTTCTCGTTACTAATACTATTGCAAGCAAGCGGCGCGGAGGCGATACGGAGAGCGGAGCTGCAGCAAGCCATCGCGCAAATCAATCAACGAGCGGAGTTCGCGACCGTGAAAAACGTCATCAGCCAATGGCGTGCGTCCTTTTCCCCCTCGCGCCTCCCCAAAAGTCCATATTCCTTCCTCCACAACCTCCCCTCCCCTCCCCTCCCCCACCCCCCCCACGCAACCCCACTAGTCCCGCACGACTCACCCTCTACGAGCCCCTGTGAACCCCTACCATCCGCTGCGCCCCCCTACGATCCTTCTAAGATCCCCTACGACCCCTGCATGCCCCGTACAATACGTTACGACCCCTTACGATCCCCTACGACGCGCTACGACCCTCTTACGACGCCCTACGCGGGTCGTCCCCGCCCCGTTCACAACGCTTCCAGGCCTCTCTCCCCTCCTCCATCCGCCGCTTCCCCGCTTTCTCCCACTCTCGGTCGGGCTCTCCCGCCGTCTCCCCCGCCGTCTCTTCCGCCGTCTCCCCCGCCTGCTCTCCCGCCTGCTCTCCCGCCGTCTCCCCCGCCGCCGCCCTCGCCGTCTCTCCCGCTTGCTTTCCCGCCGTCTGCCCCCCTCTTTCCTGGTCCCACATCCCCGCGTTGTCGTTTACGCGACCCCTCCGTCCCTGCCTGGTTCGGCTATGCCGTTCCCTCCGTCTGCTTCTCAACCACCTTTCCCCCCCCCCAAAACTCCCCTCTACCCCCCTCTACCCGTCCTTGCTCTGTTCTCCGCTGTCGTCCGCTCCCGCCCCGCGCGCATTGTTCCCTTTCCTCCACTTTATCCCCCCCTCGCTCAGCCCCCCTCTTTCCCCCTCCCCGCCGCCCCCCCTTTCCTCCTTTCCGCCTCCCCGCCTTTCCCCATCCTCGCACCACCCTGCGCGTCCATGCCTCGCCGCGTCCTTCGCTCCACGCGATCTCCCTCCCGTGCGTTGCTCCTTCTCTCGTTGCCCCTTCCGCGCTTCTCCCCTCGCACTTCCCTCCTCCGCGCGCCGCTCCTCCGCGCGTGAGCCACGATGCCCACCCCAAGGACCCAAGCGTTTCGCCACCATGCATTCACCTCCCACCGCTGCCCTACACCACGCTCCCCTGCGCTCGTTCCTTCGTCCCCCTATCCCCAATTCCAGCCCTTTATTCCTCAGATCCTCGCCCCTTCATTCACCCTAGTAACCCTCGTTGAGCCTTACTGCGCGCCAATCCCCTCATATTGCACCCGTCCGCACTCACATGCTCTGCGTTACGACTCCTATAAGGACTCCATTGAAGGCGCCTCAAAGCTATCCACCTGCTCCTCCCTTCACACGCGCTGCCATACCCTGCGCTGCCCTCCCTCCCTCCACCCGCGTCCCCAGCCCAATTTCGTCGCCATTCGACTCTCAACGTCCCACGCCACTAGCGGGCGAGTTTAGAGACGTCTCTAAACTCCACTTCACCCCCATGCCCCTCGGCGGCCCCTTGTTTAGCATTGCTGGTTTCAGATCCGTCCACGTGGCATGGAATCCTTTCCATGTAGTGCATCAACTCCCTCCTCCCTGCACACCACTAACGACTTTCTCCTCCCTTTTCCCCCACTCCTCCCCTCTCCCCACCCTCCACTGCCTTTCCCCTCTTCCGTCCCCCCGCCCCCCCCACCCCATCCCCCCATCAACAGTATCAGCGCTCACCTCGCTCTCGGACGTCACCATCCTCCTCCCGCTCTCCCCCGAGGTCCTATCCTTCATGAGAACCGCCTTCTCCCCCGCCAAGCGAGATCAAATCCTCGCCTTCCACGTCATCACCAAACGCTACTCCTACGTCAATCTCACCTCCCTCCCGGGCGGCACCGAGTTGGAAACTCTTGAAGGCATGCCGCTAATAAAGCGCGGCCCGAATTTCCAACCGCTGACGCTCTTTCAAGGGCGGGAACTCGTCCCGTCGCTCGTCATCGTGCCGAATATCTTCATCGGGTCGACTTTTTCAATTCATGGCATCAGTACAGTGCTAATCCCGCCAGACTTATGACGGCAGGTGTTTTTGCAAGAAATAAGCTGTATTATTAGCTTATCTAACACACTAATGGTATACGAGGAAGAAGTTGTGTGGTTTTGAGTTGCCTATATAGAGCTTGTACGTGGCTTGATTCCAGTGAACTCAACACTTCGTTGGGGAGCCAGTCTTGTGTTTTGGTGTGCCTTGCACTGAGTGCTGTGTGGCATTGGCAACAGTCTTGCAGCATTGCATGCACCCTACAATGCCGGGGTCGGGTTGCAAACTGCAACTGGGGTGGGGTGGGGACTGTATGTTATGTTATGTACATCATGGGGCCTTATCTCAAAACAGCAAGTACAAAGGCACAACAAAGCACATTGCGGCAGAGACTTTACAAGGAGGGGAAAACTTGGTTGGGTTGGGCTGTGATGTTATAACTAAGAATCGTAGTGGATAGGATAAGGTTGCCAAGTATAGGAGAGAGAACTGTGAAGTCTCTGTAATGACCTTGTCAATAAATTGAAAGAGAACAAGATGATTATAAGATAGAAGTACAAGAGTATAAATAGCAAGCCTAGCTAGCCATGTACTCTGAGGGGTACATTCCCTTATTAACTGAATTGCACTGCTACAGTAACCCACGACTATTGCCATTCTAGACAGTTACCATGTTGTATTTCGCAACTGCCTTGTGCGGTTACTGGGCAGTCAAGGGTCACGACTGTTGACTGTCTTCGACTGTTGACCTTCGGGTGACCCTCGATCTTCCGCGTGCTCTATATGAGCTCATGCGGTACTGGTACAGGCGTCTGCTTCGCTATGAGGAGACGCGATAGTGGAGAGCCTTCGGGAATGCTTGTGATAACCTTTCGGTTATTCCAACAGGCTGGGTAGCAGGTACTGGTGCTGAATAAAGGCACCGGTAGGTAGATTCTCGATAGGTAGGTACGTGCCCGTACTGGTAATACAGCACGTGTTCGCATGCATGCTCGTGTTGAACAGATAGGAGGGCAGGGCAGAGCAGCGCAGCATGCGTGCAGCAGCCAGGCCAGCAGCTCATGACTCAAAGCACACACGGGAAGTCAGACCAGCGTGTTAAAGTAAGCAGTTGCATCGGTGGCCCACCGCTTGAGGGACGAGCGCGGGTGGTCGAGCTACCAGTGGTGGTTGTTGCTGTCCCTCCTGAACCCGCGACCTCCTACCCACGTGTGTGTGAGTGTGTGTGTGTGAGTGGACTCAGAGCACACACGGGAAGTCAGACCAGTGTGTTGAGGTACGTGGTTGCATCGGTGGACCACCGCTTGCGGGACGAGGGCGGGTGGTTGAGGTGCGAGCGGTGGTTGTTGATATCGGCCTCAAAGCCGCGCCCGCCCCCACAGGGGATCGATCCCGCCAGGAACACGTGTGCGTGCGCACACACCAGCTTGTCCACTATCGCCACGATGCCTGCTCGTGGTGAGGGGGGGAGGCGGGTGAGGAACAGGGAAAGGGAAGGGAAAGACACCAGAGGAGGCTGATGTGCCTCTTTAGGCCCTGCACCCCCCCACAGGGGATAGAGCCTGCCAGGAACACGTGTGCGTGCAAACACCAGCTTGTCCACTATCGCCACGATGCCTGCATGGGGAGAGGGGAAGACGAGCAAGGAAAGCTGAAGGCCGGGTGGAACACACGGGATGGTGGAGTAGCTGCGTTCCCAACTAGTCCACCGCGGCACATGCACAAGGTGACGCCTCCATGAGTCGAGTTTTGAGTCGGCTCCACTCAGTACATGCGAAAGATGACGCCTCCGTGTGGTGCGGGCTACGGGCGGATGCGAGAGAGGGAGACGAGAGAGAGGGGCAGGTGAGGGAGAGGGACGGATGAGGAAAAGGGGAGGGAAAAAAGAGCGAGCAATGCAGGGAGCACTCGTGATGCGCACACGCCACTCTGCACCGCTCTGCACTCACCGGGATCGTACCGGTTGACCTCTGGGAGCACCTCGTCCAGCATCACAGTGCCCTTCACGCTCTCCCTCAGCCACCGCAGGCTGTCCCTCGGTGCCGCCCTCACCCTCTCCCCGTCCCCAAAGCTCCAAGTCGTGGTTGCCCACGAGTCCGACCGCACCACCTCCTGCTCTCCTGCACCCTGCCCGCCTCCCGCCTGCTCCCCTCCCTCCTGCTCCCCCCCTCCTTCCCCAGCCTCGCCTCCCCCGGGTTTGCCTCCCCTCAGCGTGGCTCTCGCCTGGTCAGCGCCCGCCCGTGGTGTGCGCGGGCGGGCTGTGAAGGGCACGTCTGCGGCAATAAAGACCGAGGTGGTGTGCGTGTCCCGCTGCGCTTGCTCTATGAGGTCCCGTGCCGCCCGCACACACCCCGTCATCATGTCCTCTAGCATGCTCGCGTTGGCCTGCCTGCCGTCCCTCTTCAGCCTCTGCGCCTGTGTGGGGGTAATGGAGGGGGAGGAAGAGAGGAGAATAGAGGGTATGGGGATGGGGGTGGGATGGTGACACATCCGTGCTGCCCGCACACACCCCGTCATCATGTCCTCTAGCATGCTTGCGTTGGCCTGCCTGCCGTCCCTCTTCAGCCTCTGCGCCTGTGTGGGGGAGATGAAGGGGGAAGAGGCAGTGAAAGGCACATCAGCTGCGATAAAGACCGCGGTGGTGTGTGTGTCCCGCTGCGCCTGCTGTATGAGGCCCCGTGCCGCGCGCACACACCCCGTCATCACCTCCTCTAGCATCGTTGCGTTGGCCCGCGTACCGTCCTTCTTGAGATGAGGAGAGGAGGAGAGGAGGAGAGGAGGAGAGGAGGGTAGGGGTAGAGAGGGGGGTGCAGGAGGAGAGCAGGGAAGGGAGGAGAAGAGGATAAGGACGTAATTAGGTGGCATGGCACTCATGAGATGTAATGAGACGAAAGGAGACGAAAGGAGATGAACGTGGAGCGGACGTGCATGCAGGGTGATGAAGTGCGGAGCAGACGGGGGAAGAAGGGAGTGTGTGTCTAGTCTAGGGTTATACAGGCCAGGCACATGCACATGCACATGCACATGCACATGCACATTCACTCACACTCACACTGATGAACGTGTGACTCGCCACTCACGAGTCGAAAGGCGATGAACTGGGAGCGGAAGTGCACGGCAATGCAGCGCGGGGGCAGGCGGGCCATGAGGGAGAGTGTGTGACGGGTTGCTACTGGCCAGACACATGCCCTCACACGCCACGCACATGCTCTCAGAGGGTAGGTGAACCCGTCAAGACCGCAAGGCACTCACGAGTCGGAAGGCGATGAACTCGGAGCGGAGGTGAACAGCAATGAAGCGCGGGGGCAGGTGGGCCATGACGGCATGCGCCATGGCGTGCCAGGGGCGGCTGTAGGGTAGCATCTGGAAGGATAGGAGGTCCGTCTGGGGCTCAAAGGCTATCCTCTCCCACGTGTCCTTCACCCACACCACCACTTGCTTGTGCTGCCTGCTCAGGGCGCGCACGGGATGGAAAGAGAAGGGAGAAGGAAGCAAGGAGAAGTGAGCATGGTGTAGAACCGATATTGTTTGCTCCCACGTGTCCGTCACCCACGCCACCACGTGCCTGTGCTGCCGGCATGCACGGGAGCAGGATCACGAGTCACTGGCAGGCAGCAGCAGGCATGACGACGTCAACCGTGTTGCCCCTTGTCAGCACATGCCCCATGCCCATCGCCATACACAGCACCACAGCATGTCCACCGCCCACCCACACCAAAGCTCTCACCATGCATGCAAGCGGGCGAGCATGGAGTCACTGGTAGCACAAATGATGACATCAACGGTGTTGCCCCTTGTGGCCACATGCCCCATGCCGCACACAACAACAGCATGCAGTACACTATACCAAAGCTCTCACCATGCGTGCAAGCGGGCGAGCACGGAGTCACTGGTAGCACGCATGATGACACCCACCGTGTTGCCCCTTGTCTGTAGGCACGTGCCCCCATTGCCCTACACAATAGCACGGCGTGTCCACCACTCTTCCATACGAGAAGAGCTCTCACCATGCGTGCAAGCGGGCGAGCACGGCGTCACTGGTAGCAGGCATGGTGACATCAATCGCGTTGCCTGTATTAGGCACGTGCCCCATGCCGTACACCGCCAGCTCGCCTAGCATTGCCGCCACTGGCTCTGCAAACGACGCGATAAGGAAGGATGAGATGGCACTTGTGGCTCATATTGCATGGTTGACGATGCCTTCACAGAGGAAACAAAATGGGAAGAAAGAAAGAAATTGAATGAAGGGACTGACGGTGCATGAAGGGTTGCTTGCGCATGTAGGCGGACTGCAGCAGCATGAAGCCCACTGAGGGCGCGGAGAGAGCTGCTCGCGCCATGAGCAGGAAGAGGTCCGGTGACACCCAGGAGGCGGAGTCAAAGTGGGAGAGGTCGAAGTAGGCGCAGAAGGGCAGCGAGAGTGCTACCGAGAGATGGCTGCGACTGCCCTGTGGTGGGTGGGAGGCAGTGCGGCAAGGGCGGTGTTGGGGGTGACAGAGCGACAGGGGAAGATGGAGAGGGTTACATGAGAGAGCGTCACTGACAGGTGGCTGCGACTGGCCTGCGGTGTGATGGCAGTGGGACACGGGCGCTTGATGGGGTGGTTGGGGAGCCTGCTGAGGCTACGGTCGAGAGGCGCTCTGGCCATGAGGCGGACCAGGCCTGCGGTCCTGCGGAGACATAGGCAGTGCCCAAGGATGGTGGGGCAACGGCGGTGGCGCAAGGATGGTGGCGCAAGGGCGGTGGATCAAGGGTGGTGGCGCAAGGATGGTGGCGCAAGGGCGGTGGATCAAGGATGGTGGCGCAAGGGCGGATGATGGGGTGATAGGTCGATGGGCGATAAGGGAGCATGGAGAGGGTACATAAAAACTGTCATCACATGTGGGGTTAGAGAGACGATGCAAATTACCTGAACCTGGACACAACGACCCTCAGGCGCACGGGGTGAGGGGGGCGGGGGAGGCAAGGACGCGTCAGTGTGCAAGGCAAGGGGCAGTTGACTTCAAAGAAGCAGACGCTCGGCACCAAAAGCGACTGACCTTGGGCAGAAAAACAAAGCCGGACCTTGGGCAGCACGAGGATGCGGTTGGTGGCGTGGGCGATGCGGGCCGCCTCCACGAGGTGCGATCGCGAGTTGGACAGCTGCTCGTCCGAATAGGCGAACACCAGATACTTGCTGCTTGGGGCCGGCTGGGGGGACGGGAAGGGGGAGTGGGATGCGGTAGAGGGGCCAAGGAGGGAAGGACGAAATGAATGTGATAGGGAATGCGAGCTGGGCAGCTGCATGCTTGAATAGGCGAACACCAGATACTTGCTGCTGGGGGCCGGGTGGGGGGTGCGGGCATGAGGGTGAAAGGGAAGGCGAGGTGAGATGGCGGGAGGACGGACGCAGGGAGGCGAGGGAGGAAAATGGGATTGGAAACGTGATGGGAGGGGGACCTGTACGAGACGAGTTGGAGAGTTAAAGAGAGGAGAGGTAGAGAAGCGCTGGTCGGATAGGGCGAATATGGAACACTCTAGGGGTGGGCTGGCGTGGGGAGAAGGGCGAAGAGAGGAGGGTATGGGAGCGGAGAGATGAGAAGGGACTTGGTGGGGGGAAGGGGAAGGTGGGCAGGCGGGCGGAGCCAAGGAAGGAACCAGCGGGTGGTGTGGTGTGGCGGACTCACCACTGTCTTGCTGAACGGCTTGTGCGGCACGGGCCAGCACGCCTCAGGCCACGTGGCACCCTCTCCCGCTGACTCTACTGGTAGACTTTCCCCTCACGACTCTCCCCCTGACTCACTACTGCCCTGTTGACGGGCATGTGGGGTTGTGAGACGACTCTTTACAACACATCTCAATCCTCCCACTCCACTGGTAACACTTCCCCTAATGACCTTCCCCCTAATGACCTTCCCCCTAATGACCTTCCCCCTAATGACCTTCCCCCTAATGACCTTCCCCCTAACGACCTCCCCCCTCACGACCTCCCCCCTCATGACCTTCCCGCTGACTCACCGCTGCCTTGTTGAAGGGCATGTGCGGCACGGGCCAGCACGCCTCAGGCCACGTGGCACCGCTACCGCTCACAGCGCTGCTGCTGTCCGCCCTGCTCTCAACCGAGTCGCTCCCGGGCCCATGCACATTCCCAGTGCCCTCACAGCCCCCGCCAGCACCACAGTCCCCGCGCAGCCCACAGTCGGCGGAAGCAGCGCAGCCCCCCGCAGCAGCGAGCGCGGCCTCCACGGCGCGCACACCCCCGCACACCGCGTCCACCCCCGCCGCGATCCGTGCCAGCGACGTCACGTTCCGGCCCACAGCGCGCCGCACGTATGCGCTGCTGGCGGCGCCCGCCAACACCCCCCGCCGCCACCGCTGCGAGTACAGCTGCCCCGCACCGGGGGCTGTAGCGTCCGCGCTGGGCCTGCCACCCTCCCCAGGTGCAGCCTCACCAGATAAAGCCTCCCCCCCGTGTGATCCAGGTAGCACCTGTGTGCTGCTGCTGCTAGAGCTGCTGGCGTCATCAGCCTCCTCTGCTTCTCTCCGCCTCGCCTCCACCGCCCATTGCTGCAACGCGCTCCGCAGCTGCGCCCGGCAAGTACCCGCTATAAGCTTCTTCGCGGGGCTCAGTTTTGAGCCGTACACGAGCGCGCCCTTCATGGCCTTCAAACACGCGTCGGTGAAGTTTAGCCCGGCCACAGGACGACGCTCAGGACTCCACGCAAACGTCACCAGGCTATCACCATTCCCAGGCGGCACAGCTGTCTTTCTAAGGGACTCCGGGAACTTTACACCCGAAAGTCCGGGGTTATAAAGTATTCTGCCAATATTTTCAGTGGCTCTAGTGGATCGAAAAGGATTCTCTAGCAGGTGATCATGCGATGGACGGCTTGTGAGCACGAAGGCTATTCGGAGGAGGATGAGCAGAGCGAACACTCCAGCAAGCCTCGCCAGAGCGCGCCGAAAAATAGCACTCGGGAAAGAGAGAAGCGATGCGAGAGGGGACTCTTGAGCTGGTCTGCTGCCGTACAGATCGCCTGGCTTCTTCCTGTCGCCGGTGAAAATGGTTGTAAATCTTAGCCATTGGCTTAGATGGCTCGCCTCGCACGTGTGCAGTTTCTGCTGCCTGATCATCGCAGCGTCGACTGCAGAGAGGGTTGTCAGGTAAAATAAGCTAAATAGATAAACGCATGTCGAATGTCAGATTCGTCGATATCTGCGTCGCTCGACAATACTCAAGGCCCAAAACCGCCATTGGGTATGCTGCTGAAAACAGTGGAGAGATCGCATGCCTTTGCGGACGCGAAGTCAACTACTATCCTAAAAACTTATCGATTCCGCCATCCGCAAATCACGGTCGAATAAGCATATTAGGCGTCACACGTAGAAAGGGCCAGTGTTTACCGATCAACGATACAGGCTGACTAAGGAACTGCAGGAAACACAGCAGTCGTAAAAGTGCACGAGTCAGGATATGAGAAGCTCGCCATAGTAGGGAGTGAGAACGAAGGCAATGTGCGATTGCAGAAATAGCCGACTGATGGTCTGCTCTGGTCGCGGCGCGGATGGTCTGTTTTTACGTTCGCAGAGCGTCGAAGGCTGAGTGCGCTGCTGAAGTGTCAGAAGGTTTGGCGCCAAGTGTACAGAAACTCACTGTGGATTATAGCCAAAAGGTGGTCCGCCGGTTATATGTACGTATGCCGAACGCCACAAGCTCGCAATATTTGTAACGAGGAAGCACCAAACGAGTTAACTATGTCGGCTCGTTGTCAACCAGACCGGACTGAACGCCGTCTGTCTGACACTCACCACGAACATGCCTCCCGTTATAAACAAGAATTCACCCAGTAGTGTCACTATCGAGACGCGCTGAATTCTCGTACCGTGGATCAGAATGAAACGAGAGAAATCGCACGGCTTCCTTGAGTCGTACCGTCAGCCAGTCGCGTTCAGCGCGTGAGTGGTTCCCGCATGTAAGGAAATCCCAAGGCACACGCTGTGAGTCAACTCCCTGTGCTGCCTTTGACGTGACGTGACATGCATGAGTCACATGATCACCTATACTCCCTGGGCCGAAGCCAAGGCACACCAACGCACCGCACTTACTTTTCCCAAGCAGCTAGTGAGTCCACACAGGGATTCCAGTTGTCTTGTGGACTAGTAGCCTAGGTTGTAGCAAGGTCGTGGCCTAAGCTGGTGATCGTAGTACATGTACATCATGTCGTAGTTTTGACGTACCCATATTTGAGATTAATTTCATACCAGGTTCACACACTTCCTTTTAGTGACGACCTTTCGTTTCGTGTTTGAGCCTTCTTTTCACAGCTCTTGCAAACAATCGAGGCTTGCGAATCGTGATCATGGGAGCGCAAGACGACGTTAGAAGAGACGAGGAAGAGCCGTCGTCCACGTTAGAGACACCTCTCCTTTGCCAGCCTTTCCTAAATTGGCAGACAAAGCGGCCGGTTTGGTGCTTGTCAATACCGACTCCCGTACTTATCGCCTTAGCAGTCATTCTAATATGCGAGGCTCTATTTTATGTGGAATTTCCCGTCTCCTTCGGTCGACCTCATGCGGCTGTTATTGAATTCGTCGGAGACACTCATATCGAGGATCGGGACAGCGCCTGGCTCGCTTCCGTCGAGATAAAACGGACGAAGTTCAACTTCTCAGATTCATGCGTAGACGTCCTTCGCAGTCACTCAGATAAACAATACGTTTATGCGCCAAGTAGGAACGACACTGTACAGGATGTGATGCCTAAGGTTACGAGTTGTAACGCCAGCCTCTGTAACGCGTTGCAACAGTGGGCTCAACTCGCGAGAGAACGCGAGTTACAGGGTAACTGCAGCAGCAGCGACCCAGCAGTCCGCTCCAGCTGCAAGCCTAGCTCATTCACGTCCTTAAAGAACGCGTTCGTATGGCGGACAAATCCAAGCGCGTCAGGAACTCAGCAATTCCCGAGCGATCCGCTAAAAGCCGACCCGCTACCAGAGGAAGAGGTGGAGAGGCAACAGTCGGGTGGCGTGGGGCAGATCTGCACGGAGGGGTGGAAACGCGGCGTGCTGGCGCGACTGACGAGCAGCACGTACGTCCGACAGATGCTGGCGGACAACCAGACGCGCATGGAGAACATCACCGCCGGCATTGACGCTGTGTGCGCGCGCACGCGGGAGGTGGAGGAGGGGCTGCTGGCGAGCATTCGAAACGGCAGTGGCGCTGCCACGTCAGCATGCGGTGACTGGCCTGAAGCGTGCTGGCCCGTGCCGCACATGCCTTTCGCCATGCTCTCTGTACGTGCTTTCCCGCACATGCCTTTCGCCATGCTCTCTGTACGTGCTTTCCCTCACATGCCTTTCGCCACTCTCTCTGTATGCATCATGCCTCTATGCTCTCTGATGGTTGCTTGTCTTGTCTTCCCCCCTCCGATTCCCCCCACTCCCCTGTAGCACTTCCCTGGCCGCAAGCACCTGGTGTTTGCCATGCCGAAGGAGCCGTTTTTTAGGCGCCTCAAATACTCTTCACCTCTTCCTCTCCCCTTCTCCCTCCTCCCCCAATCTCTCATTAGGACTTCCCCCGGCCCAAGTACCTGGTTTTCGCCATGTCATGTCTCTCCCCTTCCGCCCTCCCCGCTCTCCCCTCCCCTCTTCCGCCCGTCCCCCCTCCTATCAGGACTTCCCCCGCCGCAAGTACCTGGTGTTCGCCATGTCGGAGGAGCAGCTGAGCA